ACGTCAGCACGTGATTTTTACAGGGGATTAAATTGATTTCAGGCGCTGAAATGTCTTCGTATCCTTGCTTTACAGGGGCCTGCGTATTCGCTGTACCGCTTCGCCTTTAGCTCAGACGGACTAGTGGTCGCACTGCAGCCCGCTGGTGCATCCACCCATCCACTACGAAATCCACACAATCGGGCAAGGCACACTGTGGCATTCACCAGCCTGTTATCACACCTTGTACCTCGTGCATTTGTGCCCTGCTGCCTGCTGCGAACTGTGTACATGGTCATCATCGCAACTCGTGAACATATCCCCACTGTCATCCCAACCCCTTTTGCATCCGGATCAAGTGCCGGAGAACCTGCATTCGGGTTTGCATCCGCCTTTATTTCTTGGGCCAGTCTAAATACATAAAATAGATAAATACAAGAGGGAGGGAACGGGGTGTCCTCCAGGTCAATCTGAGCCGTGACTTCTTGTTGGGGGTGTTGGGGGTGAGAAGTCCCCTCTTCTTGTTCAAACAACTGCCCACCTGGGAGATCCAGGGGGCCCTTGTTGTGCGTCATACTGGCTGGAGATATCTAAGGCAGCCACTTGGCCCGTGAACAGCTACAGTATCAATATCCTTGCGGAACACCCGACACCTTCGACATTGGGAGGGCAACAATATCAAATGTCGTCGAGAGACGCATTTATATTTATTTGTTCTTGAATATGGAGCACGACATACGGCGTACTCTTCGAACAAGACGTTCCAATATGTGAGGCTGCTCACTGCGCAGAAATTAAGACGGCCCGCCTCATGTGCATATTGTTTTGCATCTTGAGCTTTCCAAAGAAAAGTCACACACATGCACGACAGTCTCACCCACCTTTGTGCACTTTCTTGTCCCGCCTGCCGTTAGCATCTTATCCACCCATCCATCCACCCTCATGGACCATGGCTGAACAGATGTACGGGTGCCTGGCTTCCCTTATTTGGAACTTGGCCCCAATGTCTTTACATCTCCGGACGTCTGTTTTCGGCTAGAGTTCCAGCCGATGCACCTTGTGAAAGGCCTGCTAATTCACCCCTGTGCCATGCGTGCGTCAAATATATCCCAACTTTTCCACCGTGGCCAATAATGGCACGGGGATCAAAACTGCGAGAAAAAGTCGTCAAAGGTGACGAGGCTGCTTGTTAAAGCGAGAGAGTAGCATTTACCCAACAAAGGTACGGCTTCTCTAAAGAATCATCAAATGAGGACAGTGCTAATGTCCTTTGCATGTTTCATGTCGTTTTTGAACAAAAGATTTGGGCTACTTTGTCCGAAGACGGCCCGTGACGACGAAAGACTGACGATTCACGGTCTCACTCGGCTTCTTCTTTATCTCTCCGCTCAATTTTGCCCCTCCTTCCTGCAAACACTTTAACAAATTGGTCCTGGTCGAGCCAAGACGGAGTCCGGTTTGTTAGAAGCAATACCTTCAAAGATAACCCTTGCTTTATGTTTAATGACTGGTTCCACTTCCGCCAAAGTTATCCATGTGGAGAGGAAGGATCGGAAAAGAAAGAAAAAGATAGTTATAAAATAAAACTTGAAGAAACAAAAGTCACATCCTGTCCCACGATCAGGCAATAAGGCAGCCAGGCACACAAACAGTGGCCGACGGAATATAACCCCAACCATGTGAGCATGACCTGCAAGAAGAGGGGAACTGGAGATGAGGCGTCTTGGCTCGTCAAAAAGGCATCTGGTCGCTTTTCTGTCTTACGTACACTTATGCGAACGTGACGACACAGTATTAGTGCTAGTGCACAGTAGATTGTCTCTTTATTTATTGTACCAGTCTCGGCCAGGTCAAAGCCTTGCGTTGCAGGTCTTGTTTTGGTCTCTGTTCGTTTTGTTTGGCTCGGGAGATTTGCCGTGCCAGCCTCGTTTTCAATGTTGACGATTGCTAGGCGCCCTGAACTAGGCAGCCTCGGGAGACAGCCCAGCCGACCTCGGCCGCCGTCACTAACAAGAACACTACCATACAACCGCGCAGCCAAACGGACCGTCACGGGCCGATCACCCCTTGGCTGTCAGCCAAAGTCCAACAGGAGGACTTCGTCCCAAACCCAATGACCTTCATTCGACGGGCCTCTCAGGCCATCTGTGGCGGCTCAGGACAAAACACAGTCGTGGTCCAACTCGGTGGCAGGCTTTGCCCAGCAAGTGTTCGTTTTATAGAGTGTTACGACGTAGAATGTGAGGCTCATCAGGGTGCAAATTTTCTACATGTTTCTGCAGCATTTCAACATATTTTCGGGGCAGATGACCGTTGATCAGCTCCAAGTGCAAGGCGACACAACAGCCCGGACACAGCAAAACTGCGTATTTCTGTGCGATTGAGATATATAAAACAGGTTGTGCATTGTAACTGAAAGCGCAACTATCAGCCTTTTAGGCGCGCAGCAATATTCCGTATTTAAAAAGACGTTGTACTGCCACTTCACGCAGCCACTTGTTTGGTGTTCATTCTTTCTTTCGGCTTCGAGAACACGTCCGAGGAGCCCATGACGCTATCTGAGGCCTGATGCTCTAAACCGATCGCCTAGCTTTCTCTCGAAATGCACTTACAGCAGACGGCGGTAGCCTTGCACCGCCCGTTTTAGCCAGCTCGTGCCCCGCCATCAACTTCCACCAAACTACAACACACAGTAATACTCTCGCCCCTCTCTTTCTTCTCAAGTCGTAAAAGAACCTTCTCTCTTTGTCATGTACCAAACCCTGTGGCGAATGAAATGACCCTGAGACACGACTGGCACTGTTTTGACTCCAATCACGAACAGACACCCTGACGCGACAAAGCTTCCCAGCGTGACACTGCATAACGGCTCAACAAACGGCACCTATTTTCAGACCTTACAAAGCAATCAACAGACTTAAACAGACCACAACACGAGCCGCCACCAGCTGCCGGCGACCTGACGACGAAACGAACCGACGGCGTCTCTACGACTCGCTGGTGCCACGGTTCGACTTGGCCACATTCTGTAGCACCGACGTTAATACTCACGATCCCAGACCTTGCCACCGCACAACGACACATACGCGCCCAACGTCATTGAACCCCGACCATGGCCCAAGACGGCGAGCAGCCGTCCGTGGCAGTCTCCGAGGACCAGGCCACGGAGACGACACAGACTGCACAGACAGCACCGCAACATGACCTGCCGACAACACCTCATCAACCCCAGACACACATCACCCTCCCCGACGGCACCACCGCTGCACCAGGCGTCACACCCGCCGGCAGTGACAAGGGTGACGGGGAGGACCAGCTTGCCGACAGCGTCACGTCGACCGCTGCCAGTCCTGGGCTGCGCAACAGCAAGGGCTGGGACGGAAAGCTGCGAATGCCCAAGAAGGACGCGTCACCCACGCCGGCCACGGGGGCTACAGGGGCTGCAGAGACTACAGAGACTACAGGAGCCACGGCAACCGGGGACCTGTCGGGCCACCACAATGTGGTTCTGGCCAACCCCGAAGCCCTGTCGGATCCCGAGTACTCGGACGACGAGAACGTCGTGCCTGGCGAGGAAATTGCCGCCGACGAAGATTTGCTAAACGACGAAGACCCAGACACGGACGAAATCCTGGCCACGCACGCCCGCATTCACGACATCGACGCCCTGCGGCTGGAGCGCTTCAAGAAGGTGGTGCGTCTGTGCCTGCGCCAAAATAGCATCCAGTCGCTGTCGTCGGGGCTCGCGCCCGTGGCCGACACGCTGCAGGAGCTGGACGTGTACGACAACCTCGTGTCCCACATGCGCGGCGTCGAGAAGCTGCCCAACCTGACGAGCCTCGACCTCAGCTTCAACAAGATCAAGCACATCAAGCACCTGGCCCCTTTGACCAAGCTGGTCGACTTGTACCTGGTCGCCAACAAGGTGTCCTCGCTCGACGGGCTCGCGGACCTCCCGGCCGCGGCGACGCTGCGCATGCTGGAGCTGGGCTCGAACCGGCTCCGCTCGATCGCCCCGCTCGCCGGGTTCGGGTTTGTCGCCCTCGAAGAGCTGTGGCTGGCCAAGAACAAGATTACGTCGCTCGAGGGCCTGCAGAACCTGCCCAAGCTGCGGCTGCTGAGCGTGCAGTCGAACCGCATCCGAGACCTGCGTCCGCTGCACGGTGTGCCGACGCTGGAGGAGCTGTACATTTCGCACAATGCCCTGGAATCACTCGAAAGCCTGAGACGGCCGGCCGAGCCGTCAGAGACAGAGACAGGGGCAGAGGCAGCGGCGGGCGCCGCGCCCGCCGCCAACGGTAACACCGCCGTCACCGCAGACGCGGACGTCTCTGGTGGCGCCGCGCCGGGCGGCGCCGTCCCGCGCCTCCGCGTCCTCGATGTCAGCAACAACGCCCTCACCTCCTTCGCCGGCACCGAACACCTCGCTGCCCTCGAAGAGGTCTGGGCCAGCTACAACCGCGTCGCCGACTTCGCCGACGTCGAGCGCTGCCTGCGGGACAAGAAGGACCTCGACACCGTCTACCTCGAAGGCAACCCGCTGCAGCTGCGCGCGCCGGCGCTGTACCGCAACAAAGTGCGCATGGCCTTGCCGCAGGTGCAGCAGATTGATGCGAGTACGTCTCCCCTTGCGTGATGTTGTATGTGCACCGATCCACACGTGCCCCTGCTAATACAGTCTAGCCTTTATCCGAGAATAATGACCGACACCATACTGTGTACACGAAATTCCTATTCTTTCGCTACTTTTCTTGTAGGACTCTTTCTTACTTTGTTATATGACTGGGACATTGGGTATATTGCAGTTCGTCACGTCTACTCAATTTCGTAATACATTCGCACAAATACGGCTATTGGCCTGCGAGTTATTAAAAAGACAAATGATTCACCCCGTTTATCATTGCAGTGATGTTTATTTCTTTTTGTTCTCGTGAAAACGTGTTTTTCTTCTAAACCCTACGACAAAACCATGTGCCCTTCATGACTTTGACACCTCACATGCAACAGCAAGCACAGGCCACTTAAGCGAACAGAATCAGCTTGTCCGTCTCAAAGTAGTTTGTGGGCTGGTTGAAGCGCGTGTTCTTGTCCAGCGCGGAGATGGCCTCCACGTCCTTGGCGTCCAGGTCCCAGGCCACGACGTCCAGGTTCTCTGCCAGCCGCGATGCCGTCTGCGTCTTGGGGATGACGGCCAGGCCGCGCTGGGTCGCCCAGCGCAGCAGGATCTGGCCCGCCGACTTCTTGTACTTGGCCGCCAGCTCCTTGATCAGCGGCACCTCGAACAGCGGCGTCAGCGCCTCGGCGTCGGCCATCTTGAACTCCTCAAACGAGGCAGGGCCAAACGACGAGTATGCCGTCACGGCCACACCCTCGCGCTTGGCGAGCTGCAGCAGCCGCGGCTGCACCAGGTACGGGTGGTGCTCAATCTGCAGCGTGGCGGGCGGGATCTTGGCGTAGCGCAGCACGTCGTACAGCAGCTGGCCCTGGAAGTTGGACACGCCGATGCTCTTGGTCAGGCCCTTCTCGACGAGCGACTCCATGGCGGTCCAGGTCTCCTGGATGCTGGCCTTGGAGGTGCGGACCTCGGTGCCGGCGTCGTCGTAGTGCCATCCGGGCGGGTAGCGGACCTCGGGGTCGACCCACTCGAGGGCGAGCGGGAAGTGCACAATGAACAGGTCAAAGTAGTCGATGCCCCAGTCCTTGAGCTGGCGGCGGGTGATGGGCTCGACGCGGTCGCCATCGTGGAACGAGTTCCACAGCTTGGAGACAATGAAAAGGTCCTCACGCTTGACGATGCCCTCCTTGATGGCACGGGCCACACCCTGACCCGACTCGACCTCGTTGCCGTAGTCTGGAGACAGAGAGTAGTGTCAGTGTATGTTCGTCCAGAAAGGCAGTGAGCAGAGCAGCACAGCACCCCCTCGTCGACTCTTCGCCCTTTCGGCCCCCTTCGCCCCCCTTCGCTCCCATCCCCCCGCCTCCCAGCCGTCCCGTCTCAACACAGGGCGTGCATAAGATTGCGCAAGACAAAATCGCACATGGCTGCAGACACGGCACAGGAGGGGTTGTGTGCCGCGAGGCACAATTGGCGGGGTCACCGCGAGTACAAAGCGGGCAAAAGAGCGCGAAGAGACGAGGTAGAGAGCAACACGAACGGCAACAAAAGGACAACAAGACTCACCGCATGCGCCGTCCAAGAGACGGTAGCCGGCCTTGATGGCGTTGTAAACAGTGTCGGCACAGACGGCGTTGTCGACCTTCCACAGGCCGAAGCCGACCTGGGGCATCTCATGGCCGCTGTTGAGCTTGATGGTGGGACCCGACATGGTTGCGGTTGTCTGCTTGTGTTAGAAAAGGCTGGAATGCACACAGAAAGAGATTGTGTGAGGCTGTTTTGTTGGGGACGCGCAAAAGGACGATCTGGGCACACGAAAGGGCAGGACTAACGTTTAAAAATTGCCCGATTGGGATGTGTTGCTAGATGAGGGGTTGAAAGTTGGAGTAACAGAGAATAGAGACGAAAGGAAGAAGAAAAAGAACAGAGGAGAGGGAGAAAGAAGAAGAAAAGAAGCAAAACAATCGGGAAATAAAGTTTATGACAAAGGGGGGATGGTCTGTTTGAGTTATATAAGAAAACGAGAAGCTCCGAAGGAAGGGACAAAGGGGGGTAGCTGTTACGGCGCAACGTGGGATGCGCCTGCTGTGCTGGTCAAACACACACATCCATGTGGTGGGGTGATGGAGACGGCTTCCTCGTTCGGGGTCAAGACCAGTGATGGAAGGTGCGGAACAACACATGCCCTTTCCCAAACACAACGGGCGATGAAGACGGCACGACGGCAAGCAGGCAAACCGGCTGGCAGGGCAGCCGCGACCACCAAGGCTTTTTTGTCCTGTCTTTCTTTCTTTTCTGATCTCCAAGATTCTTGGCCTTTCATGGCACGCTAAACGTCACTTGTCGCCCTCCTACATTGCTTTCGTTTTGTCAAACTATTTCTTCTTCCACTTCAAACCAAAAAGACACATTCTGGGCTGGCCGCAAGAATGGCAGTCCGTGCCGTATACCCCGGCGAGAGCCCCATATCTGGCCCTGTTGGCGCACTTGCTCTCGTTTCTACAGGGAAGGAGCTACCGGAGCTATGACGTGAAGAGGCGAACGGCGGCGCAAAGAAGTCCGGCGGGTCGTTTTTCGGTCATTCACCTTGGGGCAAAAACTTGGTGTCAATTTTGAGTCCCGCTGTCCACTCAGCACTGCAGTTCTATGTTCTCCTGGACGTCACTGTAATTACTCCTTGTACTTGCATAGATAGCTCGACAGGTACTGACAAGACGAAGGCAACTCACCCGCGCGTGAGAATTACTAGATTGGGCGATGCGTACAAGACGTCGAGAAAGGAGCAAGAGGAAGGCGCGACCCGTACTCGGAGCATGTTCGCAGCATATCGTGATCTTCAACTTTGCCTCTTCTGAAGAGCCCACATTTGGGATAAATAGCCCCCCTCTTACAAATACAGGCGCAAGATGCGAAGAACAAACGCCCACATATGACATTTAACAAAAAAACGTCTGGACCGACAACAAGGCCAAGCTTCATCCCAGACTTTCCCTTCCCCTCCCGCGCGCGATGAATTTAGCCTGAATGGTAATTATGGTGGATGCTTTTGTGGGCGACGTTTCTAGCGCAAGATAGTTGTCCTGTGCAGGTACATGTACTAATAAAAAGGCAAGAAAGGCTGTGAAAAATCAATGCCAGTTCGTTTGTCTCTCCAAGCGCGGTTCGTGGATAAATCCTCTTAGTCGCGCCTGCCCCTCTTTCTTGGGAAACCCACACGAAACTCCAAACATCCCGCATCCGACATCCCACTGAGTATCCAAAAGAAGAAAGCCCGCCAAACAGAGGGCCACAATACGATCGCCACGGGAAGCCGTCTCCAAGGAAAGAACGAGAGGAACACACAAAAAAAAAAAAAACCGGGGAGATCTCCAAAAAGGCACCGACGTTCGGCCGGGCCTTCCACTTTAGGCGGAAGGCTCTCGTTGTACCTGGAGACGGAGTTGTCGCGTCTGTTCTTGGCGGACGTTGTTGCCATTTTTGATTCACAGTCCTCGTTGACTTTCTTTGCTTCTTTCTCTCAATTCTTGTTCACCTTGATGATTAAAATCGTATTATATTATTTACATTATCGCGTTTGTTAACAGACCAACTAACACCAATGACGATGGAGGGTATATGAAGCTAAAGAGCAACGACCGTGGACTCGGCCAAACAAGATAACGCCAAAAACAGATGAACGCCAGATATGCCAAAACAAACAAAAAAAAGCGTTATCGAACAGAGTCAGAATTGATCACAGTAACAGTTCCCAGCCAACTGGACTACCTTGTCGACGTCCCGTTAGTGCTTCCTCCACCGACCATGTTCGAGTACCAGCAGCCGCACACGTCCGCCGCGCCACCGTCGGGGACGCTGAAGTCCCCCAGCGAATTGCCGTGGTAGTCGACGCAGTCCGGAATCGCAGGGCCGGCTTGTTGGACCTGGGCGATCTCGACGGCAAAGGGCCACGGTACAAACGCAGAGGTCGAGGCCTCGGTCGGCGCCGGCACGTTTGCAATGGTGGGCGGGAAGGTGGCACGGCGCTGCGTCCAGAGCGTCGCTTGGAGGATGGTCTGGTTGAAATAGCAGGTGGCGGCGCTGGTCTGGTGATCCACGAGATCGCTCGTGGGTACGTACGCGAGGTCCATGGAGAAGTTGAAGACGAGGCGCTCGGAGGGTAGGCCTGTGTCGAGGAGGGTCATGTAGATGCTGGAGAAGGAGGGTGACGCGGACGAGGAGGAAGACGACGAAGAGATGGTGTACGTGGTGATGGTGGACGCGCTGCTGGTGCTGCCGCCGGTGGTGCCGGCAATGATCCATTCCAAGGTGACGGCCGAGGCGTTCTGGGCGGCGGGCGATCCGGACGCCGAGAAGACGTTGTTGGACGACGGCGCGCAGCCAAAGGCAAACCCGTTGGTCGTGCACGCCGTCGAGACATTGGTAAGGGCCACGGTGAACGAGTAGCGCCCGGCAGGGAACTGGTCCGACGGCGTGGCCGGCGTGGCCGGTGGTGATGTCGATGTGCCCGCGCCGTCGCCGTCGCCGCCCTTGCTATCGCCGCCACTGCTGTTGTTGTTGTTGTTGGCCTGCTGGAGCCCAAACTTGAGGCCGACACCGAGACCGACGGCAATCACGGCCAGCAGCAGCAGCGTCAGGATCAGCCGCCACCAGCCGCCTCGCTTTGAAAACCACTGGCGGTCTTGTGCGCGCTTGGGCAGGCCGCGTCCACCTGCGCCGCCCGCCCCGGCCATCTGCTCCTCCAGCTTGCGGTCCGTAATGCCGCTCTCCTCGCTGCTTTCGCTGCAGGCCGGGTTGACGTATGGGTAGTTGGGGCCGTGGTAGGCCTGTGAAAGAGGTCCGACGGGGAGGGTTGGGTGTTGCCGTTGCGAATGTTGCGAATGTTGTGACTGTTGTGAATGTTGTGAATGTTGTGAATGGTAGCTGCGAAGGCTGCCTTGGCTGTGGTAGGAGCCAATGCTGCCGGCCCTATATGCTCTCGGAGTGCGGTTGACGCTTCGACTCGGACTGGAATTGTGGCTCTGGCTGGGGCTGGGGCTGGGACTTTGTGATGAATCTGCCTCCTCATCCGAACCGCTGCCGGCACTGCCTCCGCTGCCACTTTCGGCACCCTCGCCGCCATCGCTGGCCTGCAATGTTGGCAATGCCGTGACAATTCCCGAATGCCGGTTTTGCCGTACTGGGTACATGGCGGCTGACTCGGGCGTTGGCACCACAACCATGTCATCGTCCTCGTGCACAATGGGCAGGGTGCGGACACTCCTCATGGAGGCGCGCCGTCCCGAAGGTGCCATTGTGGAGGATGTCGTCGGCGGGCGGTCACCGTGGGTAGGAGAAGATCAAAAATGGACGACGTAAAGAGGCCGAAAAAGTTGAAAAGAAAAATAGGATTAGAAACGGAGATTGTGCCGCCCTCGGTTTTTCGTCTCCAATTCTTCCCGCGGTCCCCGCGCGCAGTAATGCTCCTTGAAGGGTGGTATGGTGACCTTGCAATTTCTCGTATTGTCGTAAATCCTTTGACTTTGGCAAGCAAGGATAGAGTGTCACAAATGAAAAGAGAAGGCCCCCAAACTGAAAACCAGAAATGTCCACGTCTTTTGGAAATTGTCGCGAGCCCGCTACAGCTATCGATTGTTCCTTAGAAGCGGTGATGAAAGTGCAACAGTAATTGACGATACAGACGACAACAAGATGGACGAGGCGTGGCCTAATGAGTGCGGACAGCTCCTCCTGTCCGTCTTGTCTTGCTCGGCTTGCTCGACGCAATTCCTGCTATGTCTTTCTTTCTGCAATATCATATGTCGTTTGTCGTATGCCGCCTCGGATGGGGATCGGCGTGTGGGTGAGTCGAGGGCGAGAAACGTAAAAGTGAATGCGAATGAGCGGCCGAGACAGGCGAAAGTCGGTTGCCAGAGAGAGAAAATGACGAGAAACGAGCGAAAAGACGATGGGCAGAAGAGCGAACGTATAGAGTATCCGAGGTAGGCACAGAGTTGTGCCCTACGCCGTTGAATGCAGAGATGTAAAACGAATGGCGATAGTTGTACGACATACAACGTAAATGTAGGTCGTAAAATAAAGGTAAAAGAGAGGCAGGCCCTTTGGTCATCATAATAAGAAAGGCGTGATATTGAACGAGGACGAGGCTCTTTTGCAAGCCAGTCAACCCTCACTTGCCAGCGCTCTAACGCCGGCAGACTTTCCACTTTTACGTGGTAAATTAAGGTTTTAAAGGGAGAAAAAAAGAAGAAAAACCGAGGGTAGGCACAGCGAGGAGCCGAGAAAACGAGGGAAACGGAGCGGGCCCAGACCTCTCGGGCAAAGATGGGCAAGAGGGTCAGTGCTTGGAGGAGCTGAGGGGACCGGCCCTGTTTGTGGCCTGGTGGTGTGGTTTGCTGTCTGTTTTTGGACGACCAGGGTGTCGGATCGCGAGGGGACAAGGACAAGGAAGAGGAGAACGAGAGGGGGTCGAGGCAAGGGAGCCTTTGACAGCTCTTTCTGTTCATTTATGAGCTCTTTCGTTTCGACCGTTCAAAGTTTCTTTTACTGGATACCTTTACAGCATCTTTGGGACGCAATTACTCCGTCGGTGGATATATCAATGGGCAAAACCAAGACGGGTCTGAGACCTCGAAATGAAAACGAGAGAGGGAGAAACGCCATGTGCAGTCGGGGTGCGTGTTCCCCTTTCCCTTGCTTTACCTTATGAGGCATTCTGAAGATCAGACTGCATTCATGGTCCACGCCGACTGCCAGGGAGGCAACCAAAGTTGACGAATGGCGATGGGAGAGAGAACGACTGAAAGTATGGTAGATGGATATGACCATTGGAAACAAATACGAAAAGAACGCTCATTGTTGTAAAGTCTTTCGCCAAGCACGGTTGCAGGCGAGAGCGGCTCGCCAAGAGACTACTGACAATAGAGGCACAGGGCCACTTGCACTTTGACAGCAACAGGGCGGAGAGAATCTTACATGCATCGAGATGGTCCAGCTCAGCCGCACGGCACGCCGTGCGACATACGTGTATCGATTGTCCATGTCAACTCCACGATGTGAAAAGAGGGGACAGCCTGCATATGCAGCGCACGGTAGGCGAGTACTTCGTACATCGTAAACGTATCATGCGTTGCCTCTGCAGCTCTTACGGTTAAGCCCAACATTGTACGGAGGCGACCAAAAGGACAAAGTCGCATTGGTGGCCCAAAACGGAAACGAGAACCAGAACTGCCATACGATGGAGTCGCAGTTTTGCTGGATCGGCCACATACCGAGAACCCCGGATGAGACGAGACAAACAGAGAAACACAGAGGTCGAGGACGATCCTTCGGGCCAGGCGGGCGTGTTGGGATAATTCGCGCTCGTTTTGTTCTCTCTGAGTCTCTCCATCTCAATAGCAATATTGGAAATGAGGTCAAAAAATAGTTAAATGAGCTTGTTGGTTAGCGTCCGGCCGGGGACGTCGCGGCGCTAACTTTCCACTGCAACGCAAGGGGGGGGGTTACGTACAGCCAGCAGACCAGTGACAGGCCAGACACCAACCACAGCACGAAATGGGCAAAAGCCCAGCACAACGCGCCAATACAAAAAGGGAAAACGGAATGATTGACTGCTTGTGAGTGGGGGGACTCGGAAGACACAAGAGCCGATGGTTTCTGCCATGGAGGTATCGCAACTCCTTGAGCGCAGCGACCGCCGTATTGCGGGCCAGGAACTTGACATTGTCGGTGTGGACCTCGTGAGTCCAGCTCCCGTCCGACTTTCGTCGACGGTGCAGCTACTGCCGTCCTGGACGGGTGTAGCCGGCTCGCCCGTCTCGTGAACAGCGTATTGGTCTCTGAAAAGAATCGTTGATCTGGTACCTAGTGAGAACTGCAATTGTGGTCAGTATGATGGATTTGAAGTGATTGACGATGGTCTTGGCTTTTTTTTTTCTGGTGCGTATCTGTGTTGTGTGGCAATGAGCCTAGAGTGATGAAAGGGACTGTTGAAAGTAGGTAGAGAACAAGCAAACAAAACGGCACAGGATATTTCATGTGAGGCACTGATACGCCGCACCATTCCGTTGGCAGGTGTTGAGGTGGCTGGACAGGGTATTACACCACATTTTAATATATATTCTCCTTGGTCTTATTGTTCGCGAGTTAAAAAAATACTTATTTGTTTGATATTATTGTTTCCTCGATTTTTGTTGACGTGGTGGATGTTTTGTTCTTATATATTCATCTTATGTTTGAACTTCTATGTAAATCATGTTTAAGTAAAATCATAAATTTCGACAATCTGTTCAATAAAATTGTCTCAGCATCCAAGCAACTGGGATTAAGCTTTTGACATGACGTCTTGACATCAAATACCAACTACGAAGTAAGCACATGACAGCTTCGTCTTTGTTGTAAAAGAGAACACACTGTCGTAGCTCCACAGTGAGTGATAGTTGCAAACGGACCGAGATTCGTCACCGGTTGGCTTGCTCTCGAGGTGAATGTACGTGGCAACCCAGAAGTCGTACCGGTCACCGACAGTGAGACTGGGAACGCAAGGAAAGCCAGGTGGTAAATATATATAATAAGGGAAAGAGTTAAATAGCAAAGATTAACATTTGGTTTAACTTAACGTACATGCGTGATTGAAATAAGTGAACAAAGATGTATGGACTTCTCAAAACGACACTGGACAACATCGTGAGATACGCGGCATCATCTATATACAAAACAATGGACTGATACAAAGAATAAATCGTCAGAACCAATCAACAAACAGGCAAACTCTACCCACACCATCCTTCTTGCGAGCATCACCCCCTTTGGTTTAGTCTTTCCTCGCTTAAAGCTTTACTACACCCTCCCAATTCTCTTTTTATGGTTACACGGATGTTAATCGGCTCCGACGGCACGACTCTGTCCTATTACAGGCAACAGGTCTCGTTATTTATGCCCTTTGTGCCACGGAGGCATCGTATGTCCTCTTGACATCCTTTTGCGTCATTTTAGGCTCAGAGAGCTCCCATGTGATTCCAACTTTCTATTCATCCTTTACTTCTCTTTCGAGTTGTGTCATATGGTGCCTCTTTGTGCTTTTGCCGTTTCCCATTTCTTTCATTCCCCCCGCATCTTCTTTGTTGTTCCCTCAAATTGTCGGTCGCGAAACAGTCTCCATTCTTGCTTGCAGGGAGACTCTGTATCATATTGTCGTTTATTTGTGCTCTCACTTCCGTCCGTTTTGTGTTAAAACACTGCCGCTGCCATCAATATCCCTGGCACGACAGTGCAATACCTGTCTCACAGCCGTTCCCACCGTTTCTCAACCGTATTTGTCCCTATTTGACCCTATTGTCCTTGTACTCTTTTCTTCTCATCCATTATGGAACAGGCCCATCTCAAAACGGAGACGCTACCGGGCTACGAGCAGGTCGTACGAGCATCCTCCGAAACGGATACAATAAGCGGAGACAACGGCGCGGTCCCAGGCTACGAACCGTCAGCCAGAATGTCAGCCTCGACGTCGAAGTCGCCTGTCCTTATCCCGGCCAAGAAGGACAACGCGCCGTATCGCGTGCAGACGTCAATGTTGCTCGATACTGGACCGTCGGACGGCGCTGACGGCACTGGTGGCGCATCTGCTTCGACCGATATCCCGCACACGTTTGTGGCGGACCCAGCCGACATTCTACCGCCGACGGTGCTCGTGCTCGACGGGCAGGTTATTTTCGCCGAGAACGCGCCCGCCGTTGTTCTGTACGAGTCAGGTCTGGGCTTGGCGGGTCTGACGCCGGCCACCAAGCGCGTCGAGCTGGAGAGGTGGGCCTACGATGGGTCGACGCGCGTCCGTAAGCGCGGCTTTTATGTGCTGGGGCACATTAACAAGTTACTGCCGTCCCTGTTCAAGCCCGGCCCGCCCGAATGGTTCATTTACAGCTTGTCGTCGCGGACAGCACCTCTGGGCGTCTTTGGGTGGCGCGAGGGTCTCACCGATGCCTGGGAGGCGCTCCCGGCACGCATCGAGAAACACGAGTTCCACTGGGCCGACGGGGCCAAGGACAAAGTGCTGTTCCGGACGCGGTACAAAAAGGGCGTGTGCACGTGGACGGACGCGGAGCACAAAGAAGTGGCCAAACTATACGAGACGTCGCGGCTGGTGGTGACGGAGCCGCTGCGGCGCGATCTGCGGGACGTGCTGGTGGCGCTCTGGTGCTGCTACGTATGGGAGCAGGCGCTGAACCGGCATGTGCCCGTACCGGTGCCGCGGGGCAAGAACCCGTATAAACCGAGCCGGTTGTTTAACTGAGGGGGAAGACCCAAGCGTGGCCCATCATAGTCGCATATCCGGCTCTCCGGGACATACATCACGGGCCCGCCGAGGTGTATCCCGGCGTGGCATAACACAGCAACTCGCGCACCAACAGTATCGAGGAGGGCCGGTGCCAGGGCCTTGCGGACCAGGACCGCGACCGGCAGATTGACCTGACGCACGCGGCAACGCTCGTCCAGTTGAACCACCATCTTCGATCCGCACGCACGGCGGTACAACGGTGTCTGCCACAGGCCAAGATCAAGCAAACGGAGGACAACCGCGACCGGCGCATGAATCTAACTTTGCCTCCCGCAGCGTTTGACGACTCATGACAGATATGCATGCTAAAGGCGCCACGGTGAGCGCATATTTCATACTGAGGAACGCAATTTCATAGTGTGCACTCTTTCGTGCTACAAAGTCACATACAAGAATGACACGGACACCCATGGGCTGGCACAACAATATACTGCGTTACACAAAGTCCTCGAGATCACCCGCGGCCCAGCGCTTTCTCGACTTACTGTGTCAGTCGTGCACATACAATAACGGTTAATCGGCGACTTTAGTTGTATTTTAGTTCTAATATGTATACCAAGGAAGAAACCAACAATACGAAAGACAAAAACCGTAGATATGGCAATGCAATTGGTGGTTATACAAAATTGGAACAGATAGGAAAGGGTCCGTCGCATCACATCTATGCAGACGCTTGCCCCTGCACCTCGGCATCGTCTGTAGGGACAGACACAATGCTGGGCTCCGTGGTCTCCGTGACAGATGCGACAGAGGCCTCGACACCGGCCTCGGGCGCACGAGCAAGAGCATCTGCCTTTGTCTCCGTCTCCCCTGTCACGTCCGGTGTCCCCTTCTCGGGCGACGCGGACGACTCGAGCGCCGCGACCTCGGTATACGGCGGCGGCGCCAGCGGGGCCTCGCCACCTTCCACCCACACCTGCGCGAGCTCCTTCTCAATCTCGTCCCGCCGCGTCCGCCACTCGGACACCTTGGCCAGGCGCTCGCGCAGCTCCTGCAGCTCGCGCTCCACGTTTTGCTTCTCGCGCTCGGTGCCGATGCGCTCAAAGGACCACTCGTCGCCGCGCTCGCCCATGCCGAGGATCAGGTTGAACGTGTGGTACTTTTTCAGGGAGGCGCGCGTCGAAATGGTAATGAGCGTGATGCCCTTGTCCTTGCACACCTCGTACAGCAGGCCTTCGACGTCGCTGGACACGGCGCTGGTGCCCTCGTCGATGAACACGTACTGTGGCTCGTGGTAGAGGACGCGCGCAATGGCCATGCGCTGCTTCTCGCCGCCGCTGAGCACGTCCTTCCACTCCTTCTTGGTGTCCCAGCCGCCCTCGCGCGCCGGCAGGTAGCCCAGGTGGGCGTCGTCGAGCACGCGCTTGAGGTCGTACTCGTTCTTCCGCTTGTCGCGCATGTCCACCTCGCCGTCCGGGTAGATGACCTGGTCGCGCAGCGTGCCGATGCTGAGGTACGGACGCTGCGGCAAAAACATGATGCCGTCCTCGCCCGTGCTCTTGGGCCGGCTGACCAGGCCACGGTACACGGGCCACAGGCCCGCCACGATGCGGCCGATGGACGTCTTGCCCGCGCCGTTGGGGCCGGACACCAGGAGGTGCTCGCCGCGCCGCACAATGAGCGACAGCGACTCCATGAGCTCCTCGCCGCCCTGGGGCCACAGCGACGGCGCCACGATCGGCACGTTCTCGAGGCGCACGCCGTCAAAGCCTTTCTGCATGGTGCCCTGCACGTCCGACAGCGAGTAGAGCTCGCTGTTGTTGGGGTTGCCGCCGCGCGGGTAGTACGCGTCGGCGTGCACGCGGTGCAGCGTCGAGATGAGCGTGTAGACGCGGCTCGTGTAGCCGGCGAGCTCCGACAGGTCCTTGATCGAGTACATCATGCGGCCACCCGCGTCCGCCAGCGACAGCATCAGCCGGCGGTTGGTGATAAAGTCCTTGGTGCGCGACCGCTCGCGCATGCCTTCGACCGCGCTGCCACTCCCGCTGCCCACGACGCCCTCGAGCAGCTCGGAGGCGCCGCCCAGACCGCCCCAGGCCGGTAGGAACACAGGCAGCGCCGACAGCAGGTAGCCGTAGGCGCTCCAGCTGTACTTGACGATAAAGTCCTCGAGCATGTTGTAGCGGATCTTGAGCATGTAGATGCCCTCCATCCACGTCTTGAGGTCCTTGAATTCGCGGTTGACCGCTTGGCGCTCCATGTCGGCGCCGCCGTAAAAGGCCACCTCCTCGGCGTTGGCAATCAGGCGCGCGTGCAGGCTGCGGAAGTCGCCTTCTTTGCGGCCCTCAATGGCCTTGAGCTTGCCAAAGGGCGGCGACAGCCGGCGCAGGATGCTGGCCGTCAAAAAGTAGTTGCTGACGAGCCCCGTCAGCGCCAGCGGGCCCAGCGACCGGTACAGCTGGTAGTTGAAGATGCACAGGTCGATGAGCGGCTTGCCCAGCGACGAGTACAGACCCGCGGCCGACGCGCAGAAGAGCGTCAGGTCCTGTGTGATGTACTGGTCGGCGCCCTGGCCGACGCCGCCGTCGAGGTTCGAGAGCTTAAAGTAGTTGAGGTTCTCGTTGAGGTACAGATCGTGAATGTAGCGCGTCAGGCGCGTGCGGAAGGCGATGGACACCTTGGACTCGAGAAACTTGATCATGGCGTTGGTGTACGACGCGAAGCCGCCGAGGCCACACCACTTGACCAGCCCGAACAAGAACTGCTTGCCATTGCCGGCAACGAGGTCGCGCACAATCTCACCGTCGAGCCGCGCGACCACAAGCGACAAGTACGTGCGCAGCAACAAGAAGCCGGCATGGCTCACAAGAAGGCCGGCCTCTTTGCTCGTCCAGCGCGGGATCATGATGCTCATCAGACTCAAAAACTGGTGCAAGAAGGCCAGGTTGAGACCTGGCTTGGTCTGCGCACCGGGTACTTGGCCGTCCGCGCCGGGGACGCCCAGCCCCGACACGCGCGGCGGGTTGAGGAAGAGGCGCCGGTGCGCCTCAAAGGTCAGCGGCTTGGTGGTGTGGATGACGACCTTGGATGTGCGGTCGCGATACGGCACGTAGATGGTGCGCGAGCCGTCTTTGTTGTGCAGCCACGAGTTGGTGCGCACGAGCTTGGAGCCCTGCTCGCGCTCCAGCCGCCGCCGGCGCCACCAGCGACGACCGCCCTCGCCGCCGAGGACGATGGAGGCCACGAGGGCCAGCGCGGCCAGCAGGCGTGTCGTGCGGGTGGTGCGTTTGAGCCGTCGCTGCACCATGCCGCCGTACTTTTCGATGAAGGCGGCGATGGCGACCTCGGCGGCCGACCGACGCAGGGTGGACTGCGCCGCCATTGCGTAAATGACGGAGGGAGGCGTCGAGTGATAAATTGGGATCAATCGCCTGTTGGAGTTGGAGGCACGAATCAAGTTCGGCCGGGGCCTGTCAAGATAAGAGACGAACTCAATCGATTGTCGCCCTCGAGATGTCGCGATAATTCCGGAGTCGATCTGATGACGGATGTCCCGATGGGGATCGACGGATGCAGTGATGGCGTTTCGTCGATGAAGACGAACTGGATGTCGAAATTGACAAGAGGATGTGTTGATGGGATTGATGGAGATGGACTCGTCTCGTTGCTATTTTTTGGGGCTTTGGGGCTTTGGGGTTTGCGGCGTTCTCATTCCAAGATCGCCTTGAACGTTTCTGGCCGGAACAGGCATGTGACAGTGCTCTCCGAGGCATGCCGCTCTTTCCTGTTTCTTGCGCCTTTGGTGCCTTTTGGCTCTGGGGAAGGAGCTCGGGACAAAGCACGCGGACTGTGGAGTTTTGTGGGTCTCTTTCTTCAGTGGCAGAGTGGCACGGGCATGCTGTAGTAAACCAAGAGGCCAATTCTGCACGGCAAAGAGGTCAACGTCATTGCTGCGCACCTGACTGGCGGCAGACTCAGCGCCACAGGGAGAAGCCATAGCAATCAACCAAGACTTTCAGGGCTTCTACGGCGTAAAATGCCCCAAGTTGCCGACATTTACACCTGTCAACGATTCTTTGGAAGGCGATGATCGTTAACCAACAACTTCACAAATGCAGCCCTGTGATTAGGACGTGAAACCTGTATGGCTACAATGCTACCCTTGAAGCCCGAACGTGCCTCTCCACGCCATGGTTGAAAAGACATACAAACAGCAGCACGGAGGGACGCTGCACGATACAAGGACCAGCTACGGATATACCAAGACCCGCTATTCCGGCTGGTGGCCATGGTCATGTCCGATAGAGATCGCGGCCACTCGTCTGGCCGTTGGCTTGCCGCCGTGGACCCGTTCCGAATAGGTGCAGGCGGCTGGGAGAAGAGCCTATGCCGTAGATGGACATGGACCGGGGAATGAGCGGACGAGTCACATCAACCGGGATAAACACGCTGGAATAAGGGGTATGAGTAGAAAGGTAGACCTTCAACCGGCTTCCTGCATCTAGTCATGATTGTCAACTCAGGCAGCAGTACATTGCATGAATGTGCTGGAGGCGGGCGCGTACGTCGTCGGCTAACTCTGTGTCGTCTGTGTTTCTAGTAAAGCAAGTAGGCTAGTGAGCGTCTTTACCTCTCTCGCGTTCTCACCAACCGCCGCCCATCATTGTGATTGCGGTTGTCACCTTTTGGGCTGGCGGCAAGCTCAAGCGCTCTGGGCCAATCAGAGGCCTGCGTCTGATGCTCTCCCCGCTCCGTCCTCTAGACTAAGACTTTGGAAGCGGTCGTGGTCTGATGGTAAGGAGGCAAGAAAAGCGTGGGAGATTTATTTTTAGCACATAGCTTTCTCCTCAACTCACTTCACCTCTTTTTGCGTTGGATCACAGCATGGACGCAGCTGCAGTCGCTGATCGGGGGCTCACCACCCATACCATGCTCCGCTCCCATGCTCTGCTACGACTCTCATGCGGATGGCACGGAACCAGGTGGTTGATCAGAGTCAAAAGAAAACACGCAGACACACTACTTGCGGGGAGTAGCCGTGGCCACACCAATGTTTGGCCCAGGCATGTTGCAGTCATTGCAGGCGCTATGCCTTTTTGCACTCTGACTTTCTGGCTGTGAACTGTGACTATGTACCAAGCTGGAACATTTATGCGCCCAGCATGGAAGCGCTTCGTAGCCACGCGCCCGAGTCTAGAACGAGTCAAGGCAGCCCTTTCGCTCTTGGCTCCTGGCGGGCGGGCGGGCTGGCCACTCCGCGTGCGTGGCACCTGCTGCAGGGGACCAATGGACGGCGGCTTGCCGCCTGCGCAGCGCTAATCTGTGTACCAATTCACTGTTCCTCCCAGTCTCTACTGTGTTCTTTGCCCTCCCTCTTCCCCACACAGATGCCGACTTAGAGGTGGTCCACGCCGGCCTATTGGCGCAGAACGACGAGGTTTCTCGAATGCCGAATTCACACCTGGCACTCTGAGCTTGCACGTTCACAACCAGAGAGTGCACACTCGACGAACAGAACGCGGGAATATGGGGCGTGCTGGCACGGTGGAAGAGGTTCCTGGCTCATGCTTTCTGGTACCCGTTCACTACAGCCCCACTTTGAGAGGACTGCGGAGCGCCATTGGCCGATGTTTCACGGCCGCTATTTGCTAGACCCGCTTTTTAAAATGCGTTGTTATGAGGTACATGAATGCAAACTCAAAACGTACGGACATTCAAGTACCGCGCTAATCATATGTGGGGAGTTTTCGCACAAGGTTGCAGGGATTCGGACCTTTCTTCCCCAACCAAGAAAGAAGAAGCAAGCGCTGTGTGATTTGACCGCCTAGATGTGCCAGTCTTACTGGTGGCCCAGTGAACACCGTGCTGAACAATACTGGTTGCGCGCTGTAAATCACAGCGTAATACGACACCACCCACGAACAGCACCCAAGCTGCCGCTAAAATTATCCAAGATCCGCGCGTGGCGTTGTGTTCTTTCCCGCTCTGCGTCTCTTTGTGCTTCAGCATTTCTTATTCCAGCACAACTCTCCACCCTGGCAAATCAAAAGGGGAAACTGCTGCCCTGTGCCCGCTCCCCTGCCACCATCGATGTCCACCCCAGAGCAAAGCCCTTGCCATTTCTCTGTCGACACTCTGAATGGAGTTGTCGTACCTTGGGGGTCGTTCTTGCCCAAGTTGCCATTTCTTAATTTCATTCCCCTCCGCACATTTTCCTCTTTCGACGTTTCCATTTGGCTTCGTCTCTTCGGGACATTTTCTTCACAACCAACCCCTTTTTTCTCGACTCCATTCGCCCATTGTTGAAAACGCGCCGCTACGGCCTTATTGCTTTGGGCATTGTTTTCTTATTCGCCCTGGCGCCGGCACTACTAGCTGTATTCTCTGTTATCCTGCAAGCCTGCCTACGAAAGCCTCCACTAATACGCCCCCAAACCGCTGCCGCATCTACAACATACTCAGTACAAAATAATTACTATCCAATCCGCTGCTCACTCTTCAGCACACAGACCACCCAACTAAACCGGGAGCGCCAGCCTCTCCTCCTCGCTCTTCTTCTTTCGGCTTTGCACTGTGATTCCCTCCTACGGTGTAATTTCTGGTCCCCCCCCAGTCCTGTTCCCGTCGCGCTCTCAACTCGAGGAAAGAAGAAAATCCACCCAAACCCCAAGCGATATTATCTTCTTACCTTTCGCCAGATCCGCGTCGTCGCGTTCCTCTTCTCTTCACCATACCTCCTACTTTTCGTACTCTCTCGCCATCCCTCTCCGCAAATCAACCACGTCGCCAAATCGATATCTGCGGACCCCAGATCTACTCCTCATACATACACAGCATCGTTCGCCTTGCGTATTTCCTTACTCGGCCTTCCTCGACCACCGCCTCGTTCTCGACCGTCGACCCTCGGTTTCTCTCCGATCGACACATTTGCAGTGTGCTGTCGGTGCTATCTCGCCCCGAATTGCCCTTGCCTCGGGCCGCCCAATCCGCGCATTAGGGGCTCTCAAAGCGAACAACAACACGACAAAGGGATATATCACACTCAATCCGACTGAGAGACACGGGTGAGTGAAATCGCAGTGCCGCGAACGTCGAGCTTGCTTGCTGCGGCCCAGCCTTGAATTCTGCTCGTCTTTCCCTTTAACCTTTCTCCCCTTTTCGCCGCGTGCGATAGCTTGCTTTGTCTGCCGCATCCTGCCTCGTCTCTTTCTCGCCGCCTTCCCTTGCCTCGTCTCGATCCTCCACTGTCCGCCAGCCGCTATTTATCCTCTCCCGCGCTCCCTTTCCTCACCTGCTCCCTGCCCATCTTGTCTATTTTCAGCCTCCCGGGGTCCTCTCTTTTTGTCCATCGTCTGTCTCGCCTTTCCCCATCCTCATCCGCCGCTGTCCTGGTAGCCTTCCTCTTTCGCTGGCATCTTTTGTGCGCATCTTTCGTCACCCTCTCCTATACTTGCTGCGGTCCCTGTGCAGATTGCAGATTCGCCCGCCTGCGGCGTAGCTGCCGCTCGTGTTACACCCCGTGTGGTTCTTTCGCACGTTTGACACGCACCGACGAGAGACAGCTGTCGCATGCGACCCTCCATACTTTTCACCCATCCCAAACCAATATCCCCTTTGCAACATTCCCGGCCTGCAGCCTGCCGCCGACTGCTTTCGCCTGCTTCAAAACACGCCTGGTACCTCACCCATAACACTATCAACTCTCTTCACGACACTGCTCTCCACACTCCGTATTGCCCGTCTACAAAATCTCCAGCACAGGAAACAGTTCGGAGACAGGCTTGCCTTCTTCAATTCTCAACCCACCCGCCGTCCGCTGTCTCCGCCTCAGAGCTTCTTATTTGATCTGTTTTATCCTTTTCTCTTCGTTTCCCTCTTTGCCTCTTTCTAAAGCTACACGCACTAAAGCCTACACGCATTGCCTTGTGTTTCGCTTCGCGTCTCTGAACAAGGCTGGCGCACATGGCCATTGTCCCCCCACCCCCTTTCCTCAGCCAGCACGCCTCCTCTTTTCCCATTCCGTTACCACATATGTCGCCTACGAATGAAAAACGACCGCTACGAACAAAATAAGCAGCGAAACTAGCCACTGACGCCTGAAAAGGAACAAATCCCCCGCAGGCACTTTTTCTATCTCCCAATCCCACCTGGCTGACCTATCCGGCTTTGTTGGGCTCTGTTTTCCTCTTTTAGAAGACCATGTCTCGCGATACACTGTCGCAGACGCCGCACCAGCCCGTGGCCGAAGTTTCCAACGAAAAGGCATCGTACGCCCTAGACGAAGGCAGCGGCAGTAGCGCTACTAACGCAAACGGCCCTGCGGCCACGAAAAAGGGCCGCGCGCTCCTCCACGTCCCATCTCGAACGTCCTCACAGAAAAAC